ACCGGGGCATTTTGTGGTCGCTGGGGGCCGCCTTGGAATCGTCCGGGGACGTCTGGGTCCACCCGGGGCCGTCTGGGCGACCAGCGGGCGTCCTCCCGAACCAGCTCGGACGCCTCTTCAGGCCGAGCGAGACATCCGAGGGCCCCAAGGCCGGTCCCAGAGCCTGGGGCGGGGGCAGCTGGGTTGCGATGGCGGGGCTCGCGAGAGGGATCCGCCCCGGGGCCGGGGACGGCCAGGGGCCAGGTCGCCGGCGCACAGAGCAAGGCACAGTCACAGCAGACTGGCTGGTGCACAGATGGACGAACTGAACACTTTTTGGTCGGCGGGTCGAGAGCGGGCCTCTTCCGGTTAAGAGCTAGGCGGGGCGCGCGAAGCACTAATTGGGGAGACAGGGCGCGGGCGGGCGGGGCCTCAGGCGGCCGGAGGGTGCGGAGTACAGGCGGACGAACTGAACACATGGCAGAGGGGCTTACGCCGCACTCGCAGAGACAGGCACACTGACCACCGACTGCGCTGTGCTGACATCGAGCAGGCGAGCTGCGCGGGCAGGAGGCACGGGAGGATGCTGGAGAGGCGCGGCAGGAACAGGGCGGTCGGGCGTGGCAGAAGTGTGGGGGGAGAGTGGGCGACGGGCCCTGGACGTTACGCTGGAGCCCCGCGGATCGCGGAGGGGGGGGGGGGTGGGGGGAGGATGGGGGGGGGGCGGGTGGGGGGGGGAACGGGGAGGGGTGGGGAGGGGGGCAACATCGAGATGGTGACGCCAAGAAGACGCCCGTCTTCCCCTCCTTTCCTTCCGTGCCCTCCTCCTCCCCCTCCTCCTCCTCCTGTTCCTCCTGCTCCTCGTCGTCCTGCGCCTCCTCCTGGCCCTCCCCTCCCCAGAAGGCTCGAACCGCAGACCTTCTGTCACGAAGCACGGGACGACTCCAAAGGAAGCCGCCAGTCGCCGTTCGACACGCCACACACGCGTACGGCGTACCAACCGAAGACCTCACTCGCCATCGCTCGGACGTCCATTCCTCGTGTATGATTCGATTTCGTGCGTGTGTTTGTTTTGTTTCGCCAAATGATCAAGGATGGTCCTCGATGGCCGTCGCCGAGAAAAAATGCACACGTCCGAGCGACGCCAAGCTCAGGTCCGAGAAATGGATTTTTACGAGTTAACCTCTAAGAGGTCTGTGGAACCGCCCCCCCACGGAGGAAACTGCCTATGCTCTCGACGCCCGTATTGACACGGACTGGGGCCCCACCAACAGCGGGAAGAAGCATTCCCCCGCGGCACCCGCCGCGCAACAACGAGAGGGAAGAGTAGGAGAAGGGCCAGGTGGAGGAGGAGGAGGAGGAGCAGGAGGAAGAGAAGGGGCGAGTTATATTCCCCGGCGAGAGAGAGAGAGAGAGAGACAGGGGAGAAGCAGCACCAAAGACCTCCCGAGGTTCGCCTGACGGGGACGCATCGCTTGGTGCACAGTCGTCTTGTCAATACTGCAAGGTTGTGTGCGCAGGGCGTAGCGAAACTACTTGCTGCCCCAGGAGAGATGGGCAGGCAACGCAATTAACATGACATGGCTATTTTTGACCTATCCAGAACGGCGAGAAATCATCTGGTATATGGCGCCAGATGTACGCAATCAGTGCGGACCCAGAACAAAAAAAACACCTCCGTGCCGAATGCACGCGCTGTCACGCCGGCGGGCGGAGCACGTGCGGTAATGCGGGGGACGTCAGTGTCACGAGGGGAAAGAGATCTTGAGCATGCCGTCTGAAACAAGAGAAAAAATCACGCGCTGTCACGCCAGCAGGCGGAGCACGTGACGCCAGGAGGGGGACGAGGTCTTGAGCACGCTGTCTTGAAACTAAAAAATGATGCGCTGACACGCCCACAGGCGGAGCACTTGACACGTGCAATCACTCGAAGCTCCTCGAGGGTTTTCGTAGCTGCGTCCTCCTCGTGGTCCTGCTCCCTCCTTTCCCCACTCCCCCCATCTCCACCTCCACCTCTGTGCCTATCCAAGCGGCTCCGTGGGCTGTCATGGGGCTCTATCGGGTCGTCCTTGGTGCTGAGTGTGTCCAAGCCCTGGATGGGGCGCTTTGGGGCCTCTGGGGGGCCTCTTGGAAGTGTCGTGCTAGCCTTTGGGGGGCATCTTGTGGCCTCTTCGGGCCTGCTTGGAAGCCTCTTGGGGTCTTCTGGGGCCCTCCTGGACAGTCTTAGAGCGCCCTAGGCCCTAGGACCGACCGACGCCTCCGATGGAGGCCTCCCTGGGGCGTCTTTGATGGGCTTTTTTTTCCACCACCACCACTAGAAGTTGGAGGGGGGAAGGAGATGGAGGAGGAGAAGGAGAAGGAGGAGGAGGAGGAGGAGGAGGAGGACCTCCCCCTCCAACTTATGGTGGTGGTGGTGGAAAACAGGCCCATCAGTCTTCGGGACTGGCCGACGGGCGATGCCGAAATGTGAACCAGCAGGAGCTCGACCACAAGAAACCTTCCACAAAAGAAACCCAGACCTGAGACCCCACGACGTCCACTGATTTTTGGTGTGGAACATCACGCTTCCCATAGCAACACCATCGAAGCCCAAAAAGCCCAGGGCACCCTACAGGCGGTGCGCTTTTTGGCATTGGCTTCCACTGTATGGGCGAGTGGAAGCGGCCGAATGCGAGACCGCTGGCCAAGAGGCCACTCGTACCAGCTCAAGACGGCCCCAACGGACCCCCAGAGGACCCCAAGATGGCCCCAAGACTGCCCCAAGAGTGAGAGTTTCAAGACGGCCGCATGGGGCCCAAGAGGACGCCCCAAAGGGGCCACGAGGGAGCCAGGACGGACTCGAACGGCGCCAGATGGCTCCAGAGCGCGCAGTAAGACGGCCCGAGAGGACCGCAGAAGGTCCTAAGAAAGCCCGGGAGAACAAGAGCACAGCCTTAGAAGAGAGACGTCCCAAGGAGGCCCTCCCAGGGATAGAGTCTCAAGTGCTCCATGATTTCAGACCTCGGCCGTCGGCCACCAGCGCGTGGCGTGGAGGACCTTCCTGCGGATCCGTGCCCCTGCATCTCCACGGTCGCTCCCTCGAGCCCCGGGCCATCCGAGGAAGCACCCGGACCCCCCCGCAGAGCCCCAGTGCTGCAGTGGAAGCTCGGGGCCACCAGGTCGGAGCCCCGGGCATCATCCCCTGGGATACGCGTGTACTCATAAACACGGTTTGGCGTGTGTGTGTGTATATATATATATACATGTATATATATATACATAAGAATGTGTAGATACAACGCATGTACACGCAAACGAACTTTCGCGCGTGCGCTTCGCGCGCCTTCAGGTTCTGCGCGTTGAGCTGCGACTTCTGCAGCAACTGTGTTCCAAGAGTGCGTTCGCGAGACGCTTCCAATGTCGCTTCCTGGAACGCGAATCGCCCCAGCATGGGATCGCAGCATCGAGGGCACAGGACATTTGCCCCTTGCCGACTCAAGCTTTTCCGACAGTCATGACTAGCGCAAGCAGCGTAAAGATGAGGAGGACGAGCAGCGGGATGCAGCGGAGGACACACATCACGGAGGAGGCACTGTAATAGTATAATCTCACAGAGGCGCGAACCGCCATTAAGCAGTATGGTCCTCTGTGTGCGAAGTGCCAACGACACTTCTTGGTGGAACGGCTTGGCGGGACACTTCTTGGTGGAACGACTGCGTGCCAAGCGGAAGCGATGGGGCAGCCGGCGACGCGCAGGCTCCCCTCGCCGTCCTGGAGGCGGACCCCCCCCCCGGGGCGCGGCCGCCCTCGAAGGGTGGGGATGGCCTTAATGGGCCCTGGAAACGACAGGGCCGGTTTTCTACCGGGTCCGTTTTGCCGATTTATTGCCGGTTCCGACGCCGTTTTGTTACCGGTTCCGTCGCCGTTTGTTGACCGGTTCCGGCTCCGGTTCAAATCCTGGAGCCGTTTTTTTCTGCAGTTTCCGGTCGCCGTTTTTTGGCCGTTTCCATTATCAAGGGACATTTTTTCGGAAGCGGTGAAAAAGCGGCCCTGCCGTTTCCGGGGCCCACTAGGGGATGGCAGCGCGCGCTGCCCCACAAGCAGAAGCCCGGGAGGGGCAGGCACGAGGAGGAACGCCAGGAGGGAGGGGAGAGGGAGGAGTCCAGTCGGGCCGCTGACAGGAGGCACGCTGAGTAAGGAACGGGGCCCCTCCTTGGCCCTGCGAGCGCCTCCGTGCCCCAGGAGGGCAGGAGGAACAGCACTGGAGGAACCCAAGGAACACCGAGCCCCTTTCCGAACCCAAACTGTTCCTTGCTTCAGCGTCCTGACTGTATGTGAGGCGAGGGGGACGGGAAAGAGCGGGGATGCGCGGGCAAAAGGGGCTGGGCGCTGCTCTGAAGCTGCGGGGTGGGGTGGGGGAGTCGGCTAAGTGCCACACGTCCACTGTCGTTGACCTGGAGGCGGACACTGGCGCATTCGTACGCCCGTGTCCGCATGTCGAGGCGAACTGCCCAACGCAACGCCCGAGAGGACAGGCGTGAGGAAAGGAAGGAGGGAGGACACGTGCGGGAGAAGCGTTTGAGGTGGGAGGGATAGGGAGGGGTGGGGAGGAGCGGGCAAAAGGCGCTGGACGCTACTCTGAAGCTCTGGTGGGGTGAAACCGACTCAGTGCCGCCAGTCCCCCCTCTCGTTGTCCTGCTCCCTCTCCTCGCAAGGTGTCCTCATTCGAGTCCTCTTCTTACTGAGCCTTCACCGCCTCTGTCATCTGCTCCCCATCGTTCTGTTCACACCCTCCGCGTCCCCAAACAATCAGAACAGCAGTCCTGGATGCACAAAGCACGAGGGGACTCATGAAGTCTAAACGAGGGCGAACAACTAATAATGGAGGCAAATCCAGACATACCCATGCTCATGATCCACCCGTCGCCGCTTCTCATGGCCTCCAACCGTCCTCCGCCTCCCACGTCTCCACCTCCGTCGGCCTTCCCTCGTTCCTGGGAGGGGGAGGCCTGTGACTAGTCGGCGCACCCTGGGCGCAGATTTGCCTCGCGTGTACCTGCAACTGTGTGCCGAAGGCTGGTGGAATAAATGGCGACCCCTGGGAGTGGGAATGATGCCAGACTGGCCGCAGCGGGCTGTAGGGGGAAGGGCCGTAACGTAACGCCCTCCCCGCTCACTCTGCCCCTTCAAGCTGTGCAAAACCTGGCACCATCGCGACGCTCTCGTTCACCTTAGCCTGCAAGGGTTCGGTCGTAACGCCTGCGCACACGACATTATGCTTGCGAGCGCCACTGAAGTTCTGCGAGGACCACGGAAAGGCCTCCGCACACGACAGCAATGTGACTGCGAACGCCAGCGTACGAATGACCGCTAGATGCAGACGGAAAGCCGACACCCGAACCACAATAACCTGAGAGCGCCACAGCATGCGCAACAGTTTAAGATACTCTGCCTGCGCTACGAGGGCGCGCGAGCGCCACAACATGCGAAGATGCACATGGCCTGCGATCGCCACAATATGCACAACAGTGTGCTGGACCCTTAGAGTTACCACTGTATGCCTGCAAGCACGAGATCTTTGCCTGTGAGCATCGCAGCGCGTTGCGGACACCACAGCGTCCACGTAAGCATCAACATGCGCTTGCGACCAAGAGGCGGCGATGAAAATCTGAAGCTGCCAGGTGCACAAGTCCACAGTAGCCTGCGACCGCCGCGATGGTCACAGCAGCACGCCAGAGCTTTCCAAAATTGCGCAATATTCTTGTGAACGCAGCAACCTACGAAGACTGGCTGCGAAGTCGGCAGCAATTCCACAAGTACGTAGAACAATGCGCACGAGACTGCCAGTAGCGAAACAGCCTGCGTCTGCCACGGTGCGCTTGCGAGCGCCACGATATGCCTGTGGGTGCCACAATGCGCGTGCGATCAGCATGTGATGAAGCCCGACCACGCCAGGCCACAAAAGCCTGCGAGCACCATCATGTGTGCAGAAAACATACGAAATGCCTACCACAATAGGCTTGCGAGCGCAGCGGTACGCCTGCGAACACAACAAGCCCCTGAGAGCACCACGGTGTGATTGCGACGATCAGACGGCTTGGAAATCCATACCCCGTCATTTCCACAACAAGTAGCGACCGTTACCAGATCCACGGCAAAAGGCCAGACCGTGCCAATCCCACAGGAACTCGCGAGCGCCACAACCTGCAAGCACAGCAGTAGCATCCGAGTACCACAGCAACATTGAAAACAATCACAACATTATACCGGACCCTTCCAGCACAATAGCCAGAGAGCACAGACATACGCCTGCGAGCACAAGAAGCTCCCTGTGACCACCCCGGCGCGCACGTTACATGCCTGTGAGCACCACAGCGCGCTCACGACCAACAAGCGGCGAGGGAAGCCATATCCTGCCTCTAGCGCAGTAGCTTGCGGCCGCCACCAGCACGCACTGGAGCATTCCAGACCCAGTCAGCACCAAACTCGACATGTGAGCATGCCAAATTCATGCGAACACTACCATAACATGTCTGTGAGCACAACTGCGCCTGCGAGCACCACGCTGTGCCATTGAACGCCAGTAGCTAACGAACACAACATCGACCTGTCTGTGGCCATCACACCACGCCTGCGAGCATCACACCGTGCTTGTGAGCACCGCGTTCCGCCCGCAAGCACCGCTCCTCCTCCTCCTCCCTCACCTCATCCCCCTCCTCCTGCCGCCGCTCTCCCTCATCCTCGTAGGAGTCCTCCTCCTCCGCCTTCTTCTCCTCTTCCTCCCCCTCCTCCTCCTCCTCCTCCTCCTCCTCCTCCTCCTCCTCCTTCCCCTCCTCCTCCTCCTCCTCCTCCCCCTCCTCCCTCACCTCCTCCCTCTCCTCCTCCCCCCCCTCCCCTCCTCCTCCTCCTCCTGCTCCTGCTCCTCCTCCCCTCCTCCTCCTCCTCCTCCTCCTCCTCCTCCCTCACCTCCTCCCTCTCCTCCTCTTCCTCCTCCTCCTCCTCCCTTACCTCCTCCTCCTCCTCCTTCCTCCTCCCTCCTCCTCCTCCTCCCTGCTCCTCCTCCCCTCCTCCTCCTCCTCCTCCTCCTTCCCCTCCTCCCCTTCCTCCTTCTCATCCTCACACTCATCCTCCCTCCCCTCCTCCTCCCCCTTCTCTTCCACCCCCTCTCCCTCCTCCTGCCTCCTCCTCCTCCTCCTCGTTCTCCTCCTCCACCTCCTCCTCCTCCTCCCCTTCCCGCCGCTGCTGCTCCCGCCCCGCTGTTGCTGCCCGAATTCCGCTGCTCTGCTGCCGCACCCGCCCGCCTCCGCTACTGATGCTGCCGCCCCAGGATGACCATCCCGAGCAGGGAGCACGGAGGAGACTGAGCAGGGACAGTCCTCGGAGGAAGAGGAGGAGGAGGAGAAGGAGGAGGAGGAGGAGGAGGAGGAGGAGGAGACGACGTACCCGAGAAGGTCCACGTCCGACCGCTGGCCTCGACCTCGGCCGACGCGAAAGCATCGACTGAAGGAGAGTGGGCTCCTGCTGGGTGGTGTTTGGGTTCGGCGTCGCAACCCATTGCCACTTCCGCCACCAGCAGGGCCCACAAACAGATGGCGCTCGAAGCAGACCACATGTGAAAATAATCGCTGGACGAGAGATCCTGTCACTTCAGGACGGGCCCCCGCCCTCTTCAGGAGAGAGCCGAGGGGCACAGGGCACTGCAGGAGAGTCCTCGACCGCAACATGCCTCTGGTGCCTCGATCGAACCCCCCATCCCAAGTCCCGCATCCAGGCCAATAGGAGGAGGAGGAGGAGGAGGAGGAGAAGGAGGAGAAGGAGGAGGAGGGACCACGAGGGGGGGACAGTCCTCGGAGGAAGAAAAGGTACCCATACCTCTACCCTTCGCCCGCTCTCCCCTTTTGGGGCCTCCCAGGAGGCCCTCGTCGCCACCGCGAGATTCGCCTCGAAATCCTGGCCCGAACGCGCCCACGGAGAGGCCGTGCCAGTAGTGGTATCGGTACATTTTGTTTGCCCCATGTCCCATCGATGACCCCTCCTGTGCGAGCGCCCCATCCCCCCCTTCCACGCCCCAGGGGCCCTGCAGCTGTGTCAGTCTCCCCCGCCCCGGCAATCCTCCGACCCCGCCTGCTCTGACCCCTTTTGGAAGGCTTGCCCCTCCACCACGTGCCCACCTGCCCGCCCCTCCTTTTGCCGCGCCCGTGCCTATGCCAACCCTCTTTCATGCGCGACCTCCATGCCACCACGCGCTCAACTGAACTCGGCGGGTCGTTTCCTGTTTCCGCTGCACCCGGACCGTTTGATCTTGTGCAAGCTCCGTCCCCCGGTCCCTTCCCCCCCTTGCTCTCCACAAATGCGCCGCGAACTTCTGCAATGATGATGCCACGTTCTTGTTCGCATCCTGCGTTTGCCCTGCCATCCGGGCCAGGCCCGTCGCACGTCGCTGTGCCGCTTCTGTTTCCTGCTGCCTCCTGGTGGGCGAATCGCACCAGCCAGTATGAACAGCGGGGGAGAACATGCTTATCCAGAGAGACGATGCCGGACAGCACTGCTTAGGGGAAGCACCCTCTCGCGGAAGCGGCATGGGCAGGGCAAGTGCTCTGGACCATGCCAAGAAGGTCAGGACAACTTGGAGCTGTGCTCCAGTCGAGGCTCACCAGCCTGAAATATTGCTCAGCATGCGCACGTGGCAATGAGAAAGATGAGAAGGAGGGAAAGAGAGAGAGAGAGAGAGAGAAAGAGAGAGAGGGAGGGAGAGGATGAAGGAAAAGGGATGAAACGAGATGATTTATTGTTGCGTTCCTGGGCGTGACGGAGGAGGAAGATGAGGAGGATGAAAACAAAGGAATGAATTTGCACATGGTGAACACATGTTCTGCTTCGGTGTTCTGACTGTCCACATTTCTTGGACACACATGTCTTCCAAAACGTATGCGGGAATCACCATGAGGCCTCACGACACCCGTGGCCCGCTCTGTACGGTCTCCCAGCGGTCCAACGAGGCCCCAATGACGGCTCCAAGACAGTGCATGATCGACCGAGGACGGCCTCAAGACACGTAGAAGCAGGTCCAACAGCAACCCAAGACGAGCTCAACACGGCCGCAGGCCACACGCTCATACCTTCAAGGGCCCCTCATGACCTCTTCCAGGGCGTCCAGAGGCTCCAAAGCCTGAAAATGTACCATTGACGCTACTTCTGGGCCGGAAGCAATTCAAATTCTGCGGGCCACTTTGGTGCCACCAAGCGTGAGAGACTCTTGCCCTCTTCGGGCGTCCGTTTATGGGAAAACGCGGGGGGCGAAGAAGTATACATATTATCTGTACCGTTAGCGGGGGCATTACGGGAGCCGCCAGGCAGGAGGGAGAGAAAAGGGGACGAAAGGCAAACCCCCGGAGGCCCACGAGCCCCGCCAGGGCCCGCCACCCACCGGCGCGAGCACCGGGGGTCCCCGGGACAAAGCGGCGGCCCCACGAGGGCCGAGGGCAGAGAGAGAGGAAGGGCCAACGGCTCGACTCACTCACATATCATTTTCCTCGTGACTCACTGTCCGCCTCAAGCGAGGCTGCTGAAAGAGATCTGAGCTGGACCACAGGGCCTGGAGCCGGCGAGGATCCCAAGAGCGAATGTCGAGACATCTTACGGCCTCGAGCACGCTCGAGTCGAACGGAATCGAAACTCGGAACATTAAAAGGGGGAGGGCGGGCTGGGCGCCTTCGGAACCAACCCCTCCCACTGCAGATAAGACGCGTACAACTGGCAATTATCTGTACCGTTAGCGGGGGCATTACGGGAACCGCCAGGCAGGAGGGAGAGAGAAGGGGACGAAAGGCAAACCCCCGGAGGCCCACGAGCCCCGCCAGGGCCCGCCACCCACCGGCGCGAGCACCGGGGGTCCCCGGGACAAAGCGGCGGCCCCACGAGGGCCGAGGGCAGAGAGAGAGGAAGGGCCAACGGCTCGACTCACTCACATATCATTTTCCTCGTGACTCACTGTCCGCCTCAAGCGAGGCTGCTGAAAGAGATCTGAGCTGGACCACAGGGCCTGGAGCCGGCGAGGATCCCAAGAGCGAATGTCGAGACATCTTACGGCCAAATTTCCAATATCCCAGATCTTGGTCTTGTACAAGACGGGTGGGCGGGTTCGGGAAACTCTCACAATTTGCCAATGCCTCATGACTGGTATCATATACTCTGAGCGGGCCATTGCCTAGTCAGGCGTTGCTCAGGCGCGCATCG